CAAACCACACCCAGGGGATCTCCAGCCTTGACTGGGCGGTCCAAGCGGAGCTCGACCCAATCTGTGCTGGACTGCCACACCTGAAGCTCAGTGCACTCACCAGACGCTGAGGGGCTCCCCTGCCTTGACAGGGCGGTCCAGTCGAAGCTCCACCCCTCCATCAGGCGAGGCAGCGAGCATGGAACGCGTGGTGTGGTGCTGCGGTGCGGAAGGCACACGAATGTCAAACATGCTACACCTTTGTGGGACCCAGCTCACTCACCAGACGCTGAGGGGCTCCCCTGCCTTGACAGGGCGGTCCAGTCGAAGCTCCACCCCTCCATCAGGGGAAGCAGCTAGCATGGAACGCGTGGTGTGGTGCTGCGGTGCGGAAGGCACACGAATGTCAAACATGCTACACCTTTGTGGGACCCAGTTCACTCACCACACGCTGAGCGGCTCCCCCGCCTTGACAGGGCGGTCCAAACGGAGCTCCACCCCTCCATCAGGAGAAGCAGCGAGCATGGATCGCGTGGTGTGGTGCTGCGGGACCCAGCTCACTCACCAGACACTGAGGGGCTCCCCTGCCTTGACAGGACGGTCCAAACGGAGCTCCACCCCTCCATCAGGAGAGGCAGCAAGCATGGATCGCGTGGTGCTCTTGTAGGCGAGGAGAGGCGGACCCATGGGGATGAGGGCGAAGCGACGGGGGAGAGGCACGCCCTGCAGGGGGATGTGGGAAGAGGAGATGAGGGGAGGGCATAGAGGTTGAGTGGGGTAGAGCGCGTGGTGCTCTTGTAGGCAAGGAGAGGCGGGCCCATGGGAATGAGCGCGAAGCGACGGGGGAGAGGCACGCCCTGGGGGACAATACAAGGGACGGACAGGATGAGGGTTAAAGGGAGGAGGGGGGGTGGGGAGTGGGGAGGCGGGGGTTTGGCTGTGAGGGCGTGGTGTTGCGGTAGATAGGCGAGGAGAGGTGGACCCATGGGTATGAAGGTGCACGGCCTGGAGGGGTTATGGGGGGAGGGAGCGAGGGGAGCAGGTATGGCGGAGGGGGCAGGGTGTGCCACACAAGAAAACCAAACCTCACCTGCTCAAGCACAAGAGAATGAGATTGCACCTGCTTGTGCCCTTACTAAAGGGCAATGCAAAATCAAATCTCAACTGCAGGCGCCCCTTACTAAAGCACAAAGCAGCATCGAATTTCACGTACAAGTGCCCTTACTCAAGCACATGGAAATTTAAGATCACTCACCTGCAGGTGCACCACGCATGACTGCACGGCAATAAAGGCCTGCTTGAAGATCTCAAAGGGGAAGGTCTCTGAAGGCGTGTCGTAGGGGTATTGCTGTGGGGGGAGGGGGGGGGGGGAGGGAGGTGGAGGAAAGGAGGGGAAGAGGGGGCGGAAGGGGAGACGAGGGGAAAATGACTGCACAGTGACAGAATGCCTGTTTGAAGATCTCTAATGGAAAGGTCTCTGAGGGCGTGTTGTACGGGTATTGCTGCAAGGGGGAAGGGAGGCGAGTCAAGGGAGAGGAGGATAGACAAGGTGTGGATTGTAGGGGCGTGTTTGCACAGTGATAAATGCTTGACGATCTCACACATGACAATGCACACCCTACGTGGCATCACAGGCAACCCACGTGGCGTCACACAATCTCTCATCACCGTGTGAGGAACCACCCCGTGTCCAGCGCCTTGTACTTCCTCTTGCACCACACATACTACCCAACCCGCACATACCTTCCCCACGCCACATACCGACACACACACCGCCATACCTTGAAGAGAGAAGCAGCGAGGAACCACACCGTGTCCAACTCCTCATACTCCCTCTTGATGCCCTGCAGCCTCACTCACTCACATCCCCCACAAACACTCTCCCCAAACATGCCAAACTCGCACTTCCCACAACACGTGCCTACAGGCTACAACTCCCACACCGCACATACCTTGAAGAGCGAAGCAGCGAGAAACCACACGGTATCCAGCTCCTCATACTCCCTCTTGATGCCCTGCAGCCTTGCCTCCACCTCTGCCTGTGATTTTATGGGTTCAAAGAGTGAAGAAGATAGGAGGGACGCATGTGGGGTGCTCTGATCAGGAGGGGATCATGAGAGGGCGAGAGTAAAGGGAGAGTCACACTATGTTGTGTCTAGATCCTCGTACTCCCTCTTGATGCTCTGCAGCCTCGCCTCCACCTCCGCCTGTTAATTGCAACAGGGATAATGCGAGGGCGGAAGATGAAGTGAATAGGGTGTTGTTGTGTTGTTGAATTGGCAGAGAAGGTGAGGAGGGAGCGAAGGGAGCACGGCTGACTGCGGGGCAGCTGGATTGGATTTCACACCAAGGGAAGCCAAACCACAAACGCAAGCAGTGCACGCACGTCAGACCAGGGCTAACCACAGCATTGGAGTCTCCGCAGCAGTCTTCCTCGCCTGCTCTGCCTGTGAACCTCTGTCCTGTGCCTCATAATGCTAAGCCTGCTTCTTCCCCGCTTCTTCCCGGCCATCAAGGCACAGCACCAGACACAACGGTAGCGCGATGCTGTTGCCTTGACCCTCTCAACCGTCACATATCTTCCCCTCTGATCCTCACCTTCATGGGGCTGCCCTGGAACAGCTCCGCAACCTCTTTGGGGTCCCACAGCAACGGCGTCTCCACAGCCGTCTGCCCTCGCCCCCTCTGCCGGTCAAGCTCGTTGATGAAGGGCCACCAGAAGGACTGCTCCGCATGCTTCTAGCTTGCCCGATCCTCACCTTCATGGGGCTGCCTTGGAACAGCTCTGCCACCTCCTGCGGGTCCCACAGCAGAGGCGTCTCCACAGCCGTCTGCCCTCGCCCCCTCTGCCGGTCAAGCTCGTTTATGAAGGGCCTCCAGAAGGACTGGTCGGCCTGCTTCTTCTCAAACATGAGGTAGAGCGCCAAGCACGCCAGCTCGGATAGCTTGTTGGTCGTAATCAACTCAGCTGGAATAGCAGGGGTCAGGGGGAAGGGGAAGGGGGGATTGGTCCGCGCCTGCTTCTTCTCGAACATGAGGTAGAGTGCCAGACACGCCAATTCGGATTGCTTGTTGGTCGTTATCAGCTCAGCGAGAGGAGTGGGGGAAGAGGAGGGGAGAGGACGACAACGGGGAACGAGGGAAGAGCGAGAGTCGCCAGGAACGACAAAAACGGAGAACTGGTGGTGACGCGCACAACAGACACGGAAGTTGGGACAACAATTAATTGGCTGCATTGCGAATTTCAAGGCCGTCCTGGGGTGCGATGCTTCAAACGCCAATGTACCATGCATACTTTACGGAACTACCATGACGGATGTTACTTTATTCAGCAGCCCGTTTGAGTGACGAGACTGAAAGACATGCAAGCCATACCTAGGGTTTCGTCTCCCAGCACTCGGCCCAGGGTGACAATGAAATTTCCTGGCACTGCAATGAGGCATGCAGACACGCAACGCAAGCCATACCTAGGGTTTCATCTCCCAGCACTCGGCCCAGGGTGACAATGAGATTCTCCGGAACTTTCAAGGGAATGTCGCCCGCCTGCCAGATACGGATTCACGGAGTGTCACGGCACGGGAGGCGACATGTGGATTCAGGGATTGAAACGCGGACACGCAGGCTATATTCAACCGCTGCTGCCGTTAACGATGACAAAAAACTTAGAAAAGAATGGAGGTCGCAACCCTCATATTATTGATTCTCTAGAACCCGACATGGTTCTCTCCTGTCACGAACCGGATCAGCGCACAGCGAGTATATGAGAATCCGAGGGAATATTTTTTATTCGCGAATCCTAAGCTTGCCTGTAGATCTTCCGCGGCTGCAACGTATCGAATCGAATCTTCCTCGGGAGTGGCTCCGGGTCGCTCTTTCAGCGTGACTTTGCACGGAGGCAGCCCGTTGGCGTGCATCCAATCAAGAAGCTCCGAATCCGAGCTCTGCGACGCCGTCGCACTCTCGGGAGCGACATTGACGGCTGAGATGCGAAAGTTTCGCCTGTCGCACCGTTGGATGCGAGCACTGCGGTTACCAGCAGTCGACCGGGGAATGACATTTTGTAGCCGCGTAGAAGAGGCTAAGCCGCGAGTTCCATTGCTAGCCGTAGTGTGAAGCGGCTTCAGCCCAGCCGCGTGGCTGCAGCACAACGAGCTTGCTACTACCATGGCGGCTAATCGACCTGGTAATCTCACACAATAGCTAACTGGCTAAGCAATGGAGGAAAAAAAACTGAAACAAGTCAGACTACGTCCGAAATAGAAGAATCTGGGCCTGTTAGGAAGGGCATCAGGGGGAACGTCTCGTATTGGTTCGAGGAGGGTGGTGATTGGTTAACAACTTATCTAGTTCACTCGTGGACGTATTTGATTTGTTGAGACACAGATCCCTCGCCTTTGTCTCTTTACTTTCTTAGTGGAGAACATTAATGATCTCGTTCTATTTTCTTGTCCCATAAATAAAGCCAAACATTCAATTACAGATGGTATGATGCTCTGCGTATGTTAGCCAAGAACATTTATAATTTTTTCCTGAAATGGTTTTCTCAATTAGAATTTTTTTTTGGTGGATATAAGTACACTACCAGCATACATACATCCGCAGTCGAAACTGTTGCTAGGAGGGCATGGAGAGGTTACAAGTACCCAAGTAACCAGAGCCCCCCTTATCCCTTTACGGAGGCTGGAACGCTACACCACCATCTTCCCAGATCTTCTTGAAACCCGCTCTCCACATCATCGAGGCCTCTGTCTCATAGAGCCTGCGCATAGCGTCTGCCTCGTCAGCATTCAAGTGGCTCCAGTCACCCGTCCTTTTCGAAGCATTCCTGCCAGCCGTTTTCTTCCGCGCTCTTCTGTAGACCTTCACGTGCCTCGTGAAGCCAACTGCCATGCATCTCAATTAGAAATATTCTGGAATGACTTTGTTTGTCTCTTACTACAAAACCCGCCTCCCATACAGCACTTTCAGAATGTCAGCACTCTTCTAAGTATACCGAGTTGAAGTTCTTAGTGAGTCCTGACATGTTCCCCTCTCCAACCGGATTTCGCGAAACTTCTTTCACACGCCTCTCGTTCTAGACAGGGACAGAGCAGCACTTGTTTCCCGTTTTAGATTTGTCGAAGCATACCGTATCGTAGTCGTGCGGGAAAAAAGGGCGGACAATCAAGCGATAACGCCCGGCATCCCCGCTGCTACTACTAGAGTCTGGTGACGTGCGAGCTCGCCGCGAGGGAAATCGGATCTGGTGAGAGAGAGCGGGAGAAGCCGCGAGGTAAATCATGTTTGGTGTATGTTTGCGGTCACGAGACAATGGTTGAAAGCCGCACAGTAGTTTTGGAGATCTAGTTTCCGATTAGGGTGGGATGATTGAAGGACCTTTCAGTTATCGTTTTCAGGACCCTGGCTGATCGACTGTGTTGCACCCTGTGACGTTGTTACGCTGTAACGCCATAACCATGTAACAACGTAATGTTGTCAGTAACCTCTTTTTCGTCACTCAAATAACGAACACAGGCCTTCCGCGTCTACTCTTTCACACTACTCGTTCTGTGCTGCGACGTCACGCAAACCGCACCCGTGACGTCACGTCATTAACCATTTTCGTGCTTCCTCGTTCATGTCTCCCTCTTTCCCCTCCTCTCCTCCTCCTCCGTCCTGGCCTCCTCCTTCCGTGCTCAATCCCCCTTCCGACCAGCACACATGGCGGTGACGGAGGTGACGTCAGCAGATGCTTTCAACGCGGCAGCCAGGGAAGGGGCGCCAGTGGCCGTGCATTTCTGGGCCGCATGGTGCGAGCCGTGCAAGCACATGGACGTGGTGTTTGGGCAGTTGGCGGCTGAAAACCCCCACGCGAAGTTCCTGAGGGTAAGTTCAAAGTACGCACTGAGCACAGCTGAATGTTTGGTTGGGCCGCATGATGCGAGCCTTGCAAGCACATGGATGTGGTGTTTGGGCAACTAGCTGCTAAGAACCCTCACGCCAACGTCCTGAGGGTGAGTGAGTACGCACTGGGAACATCTGAATGCATTTCTAGGCGGCATGGTGCGAGCCATGCGACCCATTGTCCTTGCCCCTTGTCTCGTTCCCCTGCCCCTGGCCTTTTGTTTGGCGTTGCTGGTGCAAGGGCAGGGGTAGGTGCAGGGGCAACGGATGTGGCTCCTGATGGTGCTGCTGCTGGGTTAGGAGCAGGGACAGGGACAGTGGCAGGGCGGTGGTAGGGGTTGCTGCGGCGGCTTCTTCTGCTGTAGCTGCTGCCACTGCTGGTAACAGTGTGGGTGGAAATGAAGGTGGTGGTACTCCGAGGCAATTCAGCCATCGCCTTCAGCATCCGGTCTCGATCATCGTTGGCGCCAGTGTCCTTGCCCCCATTCCCATCTCCCACTGCTGCAACACATGTCTTGCTCGTGCACAGGTGGAGGCAGAAGAGGTGCCGGACCTCTCTGTGTTGTACTCTGTATCAGCCGTGCCCTTCTTCATCCACCTTGTTCTTCCCCCTTGCCCCGTTTCCTCCTCCCCTCCCCCCTTGTCCCCCCATCCCATTTAGGTGGAGGCAGAGGAGGTGCCGGAGCTTTCTGAGAAGTTCTCTGTATCAGCCGTGCCCTTCTTTATCTTCCTCAAGGTGATAATAGTGTTGTTTCGAGACGTCTCAGCCGTGCCCTTCTTCCTCTTCCTCAAGATACTCCTCCTCTCCTTGCCTCATTGCTTCCTTCGTTCTATACATGCCACTGCTTCAAATAATTGAAACATACTCTCGTTATTTTCCATACCCTTCTTCACTTCCTCAACGTGCTCCCATCCTCCTTCCTGCTTACTGCTCTGTTTAAAAGGCGCTGAAACCTTTTTGTTTTACCTGATTCAACCTTTGCTATATCACTTGGATGGTTGGAAATCAGGGCATGTCAAAACGTAATATATGATCATACTGTCCAGATTCGGATGCGCATCCCTTCACAGAAAATGTCCAACTTTGCCTGCCTTTATCCGTTTGCCTGTCCACCATATTGCCTGCCTTTATCCCTCTTCTCTCAGGATGGCGAGGTGGTGGATAATCTCGAAGGAGCCAACCCCCCCGAGCTAGCCCACAAGGTGGCGCTGCACATCGCTGCACCCTGTTCTTACCCAATTTCTGTTACCGTTCCCTCTTCTTCTCTCTCCCTCTTCTCTCAGGATGGCAAGGTGGTGGATAAACTGGAGGGCGCCCCCCCAGAGCTCGCACACAAGGTGGCGCGGCACATCGCTGCACCCTCTTCTGCCACCAACTTCAGTGCTGGCGGCTCTGCTGCTGCCGAAGTCATTGAATCGGTCCTTCACTCGGCTCGCACCGCAGCCTACCCTGCTGCTGCTCCTGCTCCTGCTGCTGCTGCTCCTGCTCAGCCGGAGCAACCCTCCAGGATGATCGCCCCACCCGCAGGTTCGGACAAGCCGAAGCTGTCCCCGGACCTGAAGGCTCGGATCGAGGCTCTCCTGGCCTCCCACCCGGTGCTCCTGTTCATGAAAGGCACCCCCAGCGCCCCCAGATGCGGCTTCTCCTCCAAGGTTGTGTCTGTACTGGAAAAGGACTTAGGCTCTGCGGCGGCCAGTGCGTACGGGTCGTTTGATATTTTGCAAGATGAGGAGATTCGGCAGGGTTTGAAGGTTTATAGCGACTGGCCGACTTTCCCCCAGGTGTATTGCAAGGGGGAGCTGCTTGGGGGGTGTGATATCGTGCTGCAGATGCACGAGAGTGGGGAGTTGAAAGAGGTGTTTGCGGAAAAAGGGGTACTAGGAGGGGAAGTGAAAGGAGATGCAGCAGGAACAGTGGCAGCAGCAGGAGAAGGAGCAGCAGCAGCAGCAGTGGATGGGGAGGCTAGTGGGGCGAAGGGGTTGCAAGAGCGGCTGAAGGCGCTGCTCTCATCATCCCCTACCATGCTGTTCATGAAGGTGAGCCGGTATGGGGTGGGTTGGGGTAGGTTGCGTTGGGGTGTATGTGACGTTCTGTCCTCCCACATTAGCTAGTAAGCATGGCTGAAGGCGCTGCTCTCATCATCCCCTACCATGCTGTTCATGAAGGTATGTTGGTACAAATTGGGGTGTACTGTGTATTGATCCTGCCACTGTGTGGCATAGGTTGATCCATCAAGTTGTTTATGAAGGTAGGTTGCTATGCCTTGGTGTGTACCGTGCATGTGACAGTCTGTCCTCTCTCCTACTGTAGCGAGATTGGCAGTAAGCACTCGTTTCAATATCTTTACATTGCAGGTCACACTCGCGCAGCCTCGGTGTGAGTTGAGTTGCAAGTTCGTTCGTGTTTTGAAGAGAGGCAAGCACTGAACGCATCTACTCTCCCCTCTTCCCATGCTGTGTGCCCATACTCTCCCAATCCCATGCTGACCTCTAACACTCCCTGCTGCATTCCCCCTCAGCACACACCCGAGGAGCCCCGGTGTGGGTTCAGCCATAAGGTGGTTGACGCACTCCAGTCAGAAGGCATCCCCCTCGTTTCAGGTGTCTCAGATAAACACACTTGTCATCCATTTCCCTCATCTCCCTGCTGCTTTCCTTCTCAGGGCACACCGGAGGAGCCGCGGTGTGGGTTCAGCCGTAAAGTGGTTGACGCACTCAAGTCAGAAGGCATTTCCTTTGGCAGTTTTGATATCCTGACAGATGAAGCTGTGAGGCAGGGGCTGAAGGAGCTCTCTAATTGGCCCACGTACCCCCAGCTGTACCATAAGGGCGAGCTGATTGGTGGATGCGATATTGTGCTTGAGATGAAGGCCAATGGGGAGCTCAAGGCAGAGCTTGGAGGGTGAAGTTTACTGATCTGGGTACCAGTTGTATTATTAACGTACCGTATATCACTAGCTGAAGGCCCGCTGATTGGTGAATGTAATATTGTGCTTCAAGTGGAAGTGAACTGGAAGCTGAAGGCTGAGTGAGGAGGAGATTTGATACCATATTCTCCCGGATATAAGACCCGGGGGACTTTCCTAAAATAGAGGCAAAATGACTAGGGTGAACATTTAAACGGAACGAGTTGTAAGGGCGCGTGTGTTCTTGCCGAACCTGACCGAAAGTTCGAACTTTTATAACGGTTCGTCACGGTAGGATACAATTGGAAACGTTTCGCCAAGGTGCAAAGCGGTTTGAGTTCGAACTTTGTCAGGTTCGGCAAGATCACACGCGCCCTAAGAGTCCCGGGTACACTTAGAAATCATGTACACATGCGATTTAGGGGTGTACACTTGAACTTGAAGGGGGGGGGGGGGGGGGGGGGGGGGGGGGGGGTCTTATGTTCGAACCAAAAAAAATCTCGCTTGCGCAAAACTCCCGCGAGCGGCGCGTCAGAAGCGTCAGATTTCGCATCTGACATGATTGGTGTGTCAGAATCCGAATCTGACACAAATGACGTGTCAGATTTTGGATTCTGCACCTCTAAAAGCTGACGCGCATTTTCAAATTTGACTAGTGTACACAGAAAAGGGGGGTCTTAAAATATTTTATAGCAAAAGGGGGGTCCTCTCATATAGCATACATATTAAGAGTCCCAGACCCGATCATAAGTCCCGGGGGTCTTTTTTTCAGGGGGGTCCTATATCCGGGAGAATACGGTAAGTACTGTGCTGAAAACACCGGAGCAGCGTACCGCATAATTTTCGTAAAACTGTAAGGCACCTTACGCGTCTAGCAAATCATATCCTCAAATTCCCTTTTCCCCTTCCATTGTGATTTCCTCCTGACCGGAGCAATTGTTGAACTTAGCCACCACTGGCACTCTAGAGGTAAATGCTTGCAGGAGTGTGAGGTCGTGAACATAAGTGTTGAAACAAGAAAGGTGATATTTCGGTCAAGTGACATGCCCGTTCCACATCAGCAGAGCACCGTAACCCAAGGCCGATCCTTCCTCACTGCCTTCCTAACCTCCTCCGACCCTCCAAGCAGCCAGAGCTTCCCCAGGCGAGGCAACTTTACCATCTTCCTCACACCACCCTTGGTCAACCCACCACCAGAACCACCACCTCTAGCGCCACCAGCACCAGCAGAGCAGCGCAAAGCCCTCAAGTTTGGGAAGAACCTGGCAACACACAGGGCACCTTCGTCTCTCAGCCGCCACCCGAACAGGCTCAGCCAGGCGAGCTCCTCCATAGGCCCCAGCGCTCTGATCCACCTGCCATCCACCAGGTGCAGGGTAAAAAGATAATGGATTCTTACAGGCAAGTTCACGAAAAAAACATTCCCTGGGTAAAGTTTCAAAACACTTGGCTTACCTCTCACCAGGTGCAGAATCGGCTGCAGAATCGGCCACCCAGGCAAGGTTGAGCGTGTGTAGGTGCTGCAGCTGGCGAATGTGGTACATGGACCGGCATGTGATGCGCATGCAGTGGCGGAGGTCTAAAGTTCTGATTCCTGTGAGCTGACACCAGACAGACATGCCCTCGTCGCCCACTGCTGTTCTGCTGAGATTCAGCCTCCTCAGGTTTGTCAGATTCGTCAGGTTTGCCAGATTTGTCATATTTGTCAATTTTGCCAAATTTATCAAGCTTGCCAAATTTGACAAGTCTGCCAAGTTCGGAGTACTGCTCGCGACAGAAAGCGGTGCTGCGGCACCGAACCTGAAGCCAGTGCATCCAGCCAAGCAGAGGTGAGTGAGCTGAGTGAGTCGAGCAATCAGAGGCAAATCAGAGTCGACCAGGCGAGTGCAGTTGCTGAGATCAAGCTTTCTCAGACATGGAAGATTCAGGACGATGATTTGCTGCAGGCAGGGGGTGGTTATTGTCGGGAAGGCTTTGAGGGTGGAAACGGTGGAGAGGGATGCGGAGTGGTGGAGGGAGAGCGAGAGGAGGTGGAAGAGGAGCGTGTGGTAGGAAGGGGAAGGGAGTGCAGAGAGGTCCAGAGTGGTGAGGCCCTTGAGGAGCTGCGTGCTGTGGAAGGTGGCTAGAGATTGCAAGCCCTGGAGGGGGACGGGAAGGAGAATATCGGATGCAAAGGATGGAAAAGAGGAGAGGAATTGAGTCGAGGAGGCGTGAGATGCGAAGTATGAAGGGCTGAGAATAAGGGCAACCAGAGAGTTGCATAACCACGAGCGATGACAATACAATGGAAATAATGGCATTCTGAGGACTGAAGATCAGCATTGCACTGTAGCCAGCTCTGTACTGTAGACACCAGTGGAATTCCTGAGAGTACCCGTGAAAGTGTTGACATTTTTCACCATCCCTAGGAAAAATTGAAAAGTAACGAGGCAGTTAAGTGGAAAATGAGATTAACGATGGTGGGGAAATATATGTTCATGTACACAATACCTTTTCTATCCTCTGAACCTTGACAATCTGCTGCTGCAGCTGCGCATCCATAGTTCTCATCCGTCTCTTCGCGCCTATAAAAGACGGCCCATGATTCCCTTTTGGAGCTTGCAAATGGCAGTCTCGGCATTTCAGTTGCTTCAGGAGCTGCTGCTGTGGCTCCTGGTGCTGCTTTTGTTCTGATTGTTTCTGCTGCTGATGCTCTGGATGCCACTGCAGCACTTGCTGCTGCTGCTGCTGTTCCTGCTGATGCTGCTGGCACAGCACGGTTTCCTGAGTAACGAGAACCAACTCCCTGCTACCGCCTACTTCAGTCATTTTCATTCTCACGCCTTCCACAAGTCCCCTGATTCCCTCCACACTCTCCTCCAGCCTCTGCAGATGCTCCTCTGCTCCCTGCACGTGCTCTACCGCAGTCATCCCCGCTATAAGCTGGTGAACCTTGTTCGTAATAGACTCCTCCAATTCCTGCACCTCCTGTGTCAGCTCTACGAGGACACCCGCCACGCCCTGCATTGCTGATTAATCGAAACAGACGCTGCTGAGAATTGAAGCTCACGCTTCTGCGATCGAACAGCCTGTGTTGAAGATCAGAATAGCAGCGAGGTCTGAAGAGAATGTGCTGATGATCGGACCTTTGCTGAAAATCGAAACAGCTGCTGCTGAGGTTCGTAACAGCCGCTGCTGAGGTTCGTAACAGCCGCTGCTGAGGTTCGTAACAGCCGCTGCTGAGGTTCGTAACAGCCGCTGCTGAGGTTCGTAACAGACTTTGTTGAAAATTGAACAGATTTTGCTGAGAACAGAACAGCCTCTGCTGAAGTCTGGAACGGCTATTGATGAAAATCGAACAGCCTGTGCCCAGATTCACAAATCGAGTTTGGATCGCTGAATCAGGCGATGCCTGTCAGCCGCACATCCACCTCGCCCAGGCTCTGCGTAAGAAAAAAATCAACAGCCTCCGTTGAAAACCTTCTTTTATTACTTTCTCAAAGAACGAGCTCCGCATTACAGGAACATGAAGCTCATGGATTGCCTTCAAATGTTACACAGGTACAACGGAACTACGAGTTGTAACCCGGGAGGACAACAAGAATTTATGCGAGCGGCTTCCTGCGGAGCTTCGGACGCCATGGCTCTTTGCGTTTTAACTCTGCAAAATACCGCTTCTTACCCATCGCCAGGGACTTATTCGTCAAACGATGCACGCATTGATTAACTCGGGTAAGAATTAACTGCCTTTCCTTCCCATCCACCACTGCAAAACCTCGACTGACAGTCCCATTTCCTCCGTTTGATTCCGTCACGTCTATGCTCCTCAGCAGCACAATTGCCGAGTCGGCCCCGACCGGTACCAACCAAGGCATCCTTCCAACCAATCACATATTTCGAGCAAACTGGGCCGCTTCCTGGGGGATCTTCTCGGCATCATCTGAGATGGCTCAATCCAATCCGCAGGCTAGAGAGTCTCAGGAAGAGCCTTGGAATGATCTGACAGACTGAATGCTAGCACACCAGAAGCAAAATCGAGATACTGTACATACGGTACACACGGATTTTGTTGGACATGAGTCTGGACCCACGAACTCCATAAAGCTGCTTGCGGAAATCCCAAAAGAAGGCGGTGGGGTGCTGCTGCGATGTGAACGATCCACTTCACAACTCGCCTTTTAACCGGTTACTATCATGTGTTTTCGCATATTCACTGTGAGTTACCGACGATGTCTAACGAAAAACGGTTGGAGGGAGATGGGGATTCGGTAACATCGGTCGTTGTTCATGCTGCGAAAGTCGTCACTCGCCTGACGTTCCCAGTCTGTTCGTGAACTAGTGTAACAATCGGAGGGCTATTCGTCGTGTCTGTAGTTACCATTCGAACGTTCCAATAGCGATGTTATTCCACACTTCCGCATTGCATGTGTTCACAGGCTGCATCCTTTCCCCGTTGGCTGATTCTTTGTGCCAACGCATGTTTCGTTGACGACGCACATGACGATTGTCGTGGACAGGCGAGATCACACGTGCATGCAGCCACTAAAACAGGGAGTACAGCATTTGCCACCGTGGAACATGGTCAATCCACTCTAGATAACGTGGACCTGACGCAGCTTCGGTCCCCTGACCGCACAGGATGCGGGAAATTCCCGCGGTCAGCATGTCGAGTTGGCGGAAAAGATTGCCGTTATGTCCGCAGAGAGTCTTCTTTTCGCGAAATGAGGAGTCGTCGCAAAACCGCACCAACAAATATCGTGCAGCTGGTAACTATGTGGCCATCAGGTGAAAAAAGTCAGAAAGGTGAGGTTTCGGGTTGTTCTGACTTTCGCTGATCCGCGCAAGACTCTTCGACGGCGCCCGTCGAGGTGCTCCGCCAATAGTAGCCTCGCGCACCGCGTGCGTGTGTCGAGGCGGAGCTTCGGTACGGGTCACACACAGGACCCGCACCCGTGGGTGGGGGTGATGCGCGGAGCGACTCTGCTCTGCTCTCCGCTGACCTGCTGTGCTCCGGTCTGCTCTGCTCTGCTCTCCGCTGACCTGCTGTGCTCCGGTCTGCCCTGCCCCGCACTGACACGCCCGCCACTACGCCACAACCGCACCTGCCGCATGCCGTTGCAGTGTGACATGACAACAATGCAACGAACAAAGCTTTTCCAAGCTGGTCTGGATTCACATAAACGCTAGGTTACTCGTTCTTGGTTCGCCTCGCCCGCATACAGTGAAATCTTGCTCATTAGTCGCATAATCTGGCACCGCGCGACATCAGAAGTTCTGGAAACCAGCTTCACTTTCTATCCTTACTGTTACCTTCGTTTATCTTCTACACCCGACTATGGCCATGGCGGCGAGTCTTCAGTCTTCTATTCAAGCCGCGAGCATTAGAGTACCTATCGAACTCCACGTGCCTCCGCAGAGACTCTCCCTGCCAAACTCCTTTCTCCCGCCTCTCTCTCCCCGTTTCTCTCGCCATGCTGACCGATGCTCCGACGCGCGGGATTCGCGGCGGGATTCACGGCACGATTTACGGAAAGAACGCGCTGGCGGTGCGAGAACCGCGGCGCGGATGCAGTTTGGCGAGTTCGGAGAGTTCGAACACGTCGAGTCGGCTTTTGACTATGCTGACGAGGAGTTTTCTCGCGCCACCGTGCTTGAAGCAAGTGAGTCTGCTCTACAACGCGTATGTTTTTTTTTCCACGGCGCTTGACGTTTCGTTGCAGAGAGGCTGCGTTACGAGCACAGGCTCCGTTACTAGCACGCTCCGTTACGAACACGGACATCATTATAAGCGCGAGTGTACGGAGTGCGACTGCCCACCTTCCCTTTCCCCCGCTCCCATACTCACCTCCCCTCCCTCCCTCGTACTGAGTGTGAGCAGCAGCTGCGACGCGCTGCTGGGCGGCATGACGGACGACATCCCACTCCCCGCTTGGTTCCCCCCTCCCCCCCTTTTTCCCCACACTGTACAGCGAGTGTCAGCAGCAGCGGCGACGCTCTGCTGGTCGGCATGACGGACGGCATCTCCGTCATATGCGCGCACAACCACATGAGCGGCGGCGTGCGCCTTCCCTGCCGTTCCCCTTACCCGCGTCCCCGCACTCGTTTCTTCCCCCTCCCCCACACTGTGCAGCGAGTGTCACAACCTCATGGACGGGGTGCGCCTCCCTACCTCCCCGTTATTCACTTTTCCCCACTCTCCCCGAACCCACTCCCCGTTTGGTTCCCCCCTCCCCCCCCTCTTTCCCCCACACTGTTCAGCGAGTGTCAGCAGCAGCGGCGACGCGCTTCTAGTCGGCATGACGGACGGCATATCGTTCAAGTGCTCGCACAACCTCATGGACGGGGTGCGCCTCCCCGAGTACCCCGCGCAGCCGGCGGCCGTACTTAAACTCGAAGACGGCAGCCGTATATTGCTCCCTATTCTCATTCGTAAGTGCCTTGTCCGGGGCGTAGCGTTTCTGAGCCACCCAAATGTGCGCAGCCCGCCGCCATGCTAAAACTCGACGTCCTTCTTTCCCTTTTTGTCTAATTATCAATAACGCGCCTCTTCATTCAAACGCGCATCAACTCTGAGGTAATCTTTTGCCTCCCCCTCGCCCCCCCCTTCCGCTCTCTGTCCTCTGATCGCTTCCTTCCCATCTGCAGCGCACCTCTCAAGCCAAATGCTCATTGACTCGGTGCGGGGCGTGCCTCTGGTGAGTTAACGGGGCCTCTAGTGACTGTAAACTGTGTGAGTACATTGAATGTAGAGTTGAAAGTGGTTTGGGAGAGTTGGTGGTTTTGTTTCTCGTAAGGCTTTTGGTTGAGATCTGAAAGTGCTTATATCGAGATCGAGAGCTTCGGGCGATGGTTCAAGGCGTGACTGTAAAAGGAGTGTGATTAACATGCACGCAATCCTTCTGTTGCAAACCACGTAATTTTGATGAGCTCATTTGGTGATCCTAAGAAGATATATTTTTACAAGATATGGATCTGTTTGCAATAACGAGACTCTTACAGTACCTCTTGTGTGCTTATCTTGTGCTATGCTGACGTGGCAGGCTCGGCCAACGGTGTACATGCTAATGCGAGATATGATCGAGTTGATGGGATATGAGGTGAGACGGTGTGATTTTATCATCAGGTGACAATATGGGATGTTAGGTGAAAATTTCACCGTAAAATGGTTGGGATATGGGCCGAAAGGATGGGATGTGAAATGGTTCTCTGGTCCTCTGACTGTCAAATGTGAATGTAGTTCACAAAGCCAACCCAACCGGCATCGCTGCTGCTTTCCAGTTAAAAAAAAAAAAAAAAAGAACACCTCAAATTGAAGTTTTCACGTCCGTCCGTCCCCCCGTCTCCCTGTTTCTGCCTGCAGATCAGTTTGATTCGCATCACCCATCGAGACGGGGATGCATACTGTGCTCGGGCCTACCTATCCAAGGTCAGTCCGTAATCTCAAGACACATCACCCATTGGTGCACATCATACATGCTTTGGGGCCTCTAGGATTTAGTTTGATTCGCATCACCCATCGAGACGGGGATGCATACTGTGCCCGGGCCTACCTCTCCAAGGTCAGTCCGGATCTTTTTTATGACTCCTTCAAAGTACATTCAATGCGCATCACCCATTGGTGCACATCATACTGCTTTGGGGCCTCTAGGAATTAGTTTGATTCGCATCACCCATCGAGACGGGGATGCATACTGTGCTCGGGCCTACCTATCCAAGGTCAGTCCGCTTTTCGCCTTACCTTGTAGCCTTCTATCTGTTTTCGCTCCCTCTCCTTTCTCCCACGGTCTCCTAATTCCAATGCAGTCTTCTCTTGCACGCTCCACACATTCCAGTTCTTGCACGCTCTGTTTTGACCCTTCAACCCACCCTCTCTAAGAACAGGTCCCTGCTGACAGCAGCGCATCTAACACCAGCAGCAGCAGCAGCAGCTGCTATCCAAAACTAATTCGTATCCTTCCTCTTTGCCAAACCCTCCCATATCAGGTGTCTGCTGCTGACAGTAGCACAGCCAGCAGCAGCAGCGGGCC